CTACAGACCGAATGCTTCCTATACATAAATAACGCCTCACCGTATTATACAGTCCCATTATATCATATTATACCAATTGTTCCAGGTATTCCAGGTATTGTTACATCTCGCCCGAAACATCGTACGAAATATGAGGTAGTTCTCGTAATTGAGAAAATATTTTTATATTTACCTTATAACGAGAAATGTAGAAATAAGAGTCGTAAAAATTACAATTTGTAAAAATCTATTTTATTCATATCTCGCGAGAAAGAATTGAAAATTTACAAACACGTACTTATTATATTATAAATGAAAAATAAAACAAAAATGTTCATATCATAGCCAAATAGGATAATTTAAAATTGTTATTATGTTTAACTTAAAGAAAAAAACAAATTTTAAAAGAAAATTTTTATTGAATAATTATTTAATAATAAAAGACATTTACAATGTTACGTAATTACAGGAACACAGTGAGTGTAAATACTTACACTAATTTAGCTTTCACGATGGGAACATAAACACGAACTAGAATCTATCTTGTCGAACAAGAAATAATCTCTCTGAAGGAAGCAAGCTAAGCAAACCGAAAACGAGAAGTCGAATTTGGCCCTTTTTCCTCGTGCATGGTACCGTAAACGATTACATAAATTAACATTTTGATTCGAGGAGCCGTGGGGTCGTTTCAATTTATAATTAAGACCTCGGGCTAATTGCAGGCGAGCGCGGACCAACTCTGTAGCTGCAATGTCGAATAATTAACGATCCTTCGTATTGCACCCCTGTGCATTGAACCAGGCTTCTTACCTAGTCAACTCTGCTCGTGTTACAAGCACAGACGAGGTACAGGAGAGACGTGACATCCAATACATTTTTGTGTCACCATTGATTAACTAGGATAAACTAAGAAGAATGCTTTTTCGTATCCCATGTTTTGGAGATCACCTTAAATCCTTTACCATTTTCATATCGATTTAAACAGGTTTTGCACCACAGCACTACTAGTAATAGGAATCAAAAAATATGAACAATGTTGTCCATCGAAAATTATTTATTGAATTGAACGTGTATGCTTTCTTATTTGATTATTTTTAAGAAACGACCAACTTAATTTCTGACTATAACGTATAAATTAAATTAATTTCTGACTAACTTATAAATTAGTATTTAGTATATGTTAACAGAGTTATAAGTTAAAAATTAACTATGCAAATGTAATTTCAGTTTGCAAGAAATATAGAAATTACAGTTAAAGCTAGGGTTAAGACTAGTCACGTAGTGACCTCTTCGTGGTTAAACCTGGTAATTGGCATCATTTTTCATTTATCTTTTTTTAATTCTCCAAGAACTAATGTTTATTCATTTTTTTGATTTCTTGTTCCAAAGATTAATATTTCCAAAAATGATACCAAGCTGGGAATTACTATGATTTAATTTTATTTTCGAACATTATAAATTAAATTAATTTTAAGCATCGTCGATGAACGACATTTAGTTTTAAGTTTCATTGATGACGATATGAAATGCACGCGTTTTAATTTTCGGACATTGTAAATTAAGTTAGTCTTAAGTCTCAGTTTTAAGTTGTGTTTTTGTTGCAATTTTTAATTTTGAGTCTTAATTTTATATAAATCGAGTTTTTAATCGTAAATCATAGCCGTATGTCATACCTTTAATTTTAAGTCCTAGTTCTAGGTCTAATCTTCAATTATAAATCTTTAATTTTCAGTTTCACTCTTCGGTTTCAACGTTGGACAATGTGAATCTAAATTCTGGAGATCGTTATACGGATGCGATTTATTCGAAGAAATAATTTTTTGCTCTGACTTACTCTCCAAAACTTTCAACGATTCAATTTAATCGATTCCAATTTAATCCATTTTTCTGTCACGTGACACATATTTGTCCTTGTTGCACATTATCGCTTTTCTTGTCTACGGAGGTGCTGCCATCTATATGCGACAGAGTATTAAAAAATGTGCCATATACTGCTATCTGTTGGATAGAACTAAATTAAACTAAATTGTAAGTTCTAGCAATATGGGATACATGGCAGCACACGATACATTCCTATCGAACTAGCAACTCGTGCCTCTAATCATAGGGAAAGAGCCCCCTCCACATTTACTTTTACCTATCGTTCATCCCTTCTGGAACCCCACACGTCACACGAACCTCACTCTACATTTCAATTTAATTGCGTGCGCTGTTCTACAGTCACATTTCATACGTGTTAGTTTCACCGATTATAATGGCTGGCTCGATAAATGAGAGTGGGGATTGTGTAGCGCATGGAAAAAGAACGTAGAGGGGGAATCGGCTCATCGAAAGTCAGACTTTCGTGTGGCTCACGTAGGGGAAGAAATTGGACAGGTCTGGATTAGACGATCGAGTTAACACAATTCAGTAAACTAACGAAAATATTATATGTACAATATTTAACAATAAACCATAGTGTGAATACGACGTATAAATTACAACTAGCAAATGGTCGGCAAGTGTTGATGAGGAGAACAATTGAATTCATTCACTATCGAAAGTGCCGTGTTACGAAACATTAATTAGTAACGAACGGTAGGTATTGAAATACATTTATCTATGAAGTACTGTCAATGTAGTAGTCAATGATTCTATGTAAAATATACTTTCTGTAAGATTAAAATATAGATACAGTTTCTCTTCTGTGACAATAGCATGTTACGTGATCGTGACGTGCACATGCGCAAAAATATACATATGGTGAAAATAGTGGAATTACGTATAACGTTAAAACTTAAAATCACAAGTTTGAAGTATGTATTACTTCTGTGATTACACTTTGTATGATTATTTGTGATATCTATAACATAAATATTTATTTACATAAATTACGTCCTTGAGTGAGATCACAGACAACTATAAGAATTTTTATTATTTTTATATTTTTGTATTTCTGATAGAAATTAGTAATAGCATTAAATAATATCAAAAGTTTTAATATTAAACAATGATAGCATTAACATGATTTTTTAATAATAAGGATTAAAAACCAAATAAATGGAAGAAAAAGAGGAAAAATTTCCTGCTCAATGGGCACTTGATGTTCTTGAACCTACACCTGTCGATCAATCAAATAGTATTCTAAAATATTATGGAGTGCCACCTTCTATGATCTGTGGACCACTTGGTGTAATAGCTTATAATTATTCTACAGCTAAACCTCTATATTGCAGTAAGTTAAAAAATTATATTATTTTAGAAATAACTAACCTAGTAATAATTGTTATTCAGTTATCTCAAAGACTATTCTCTATTATATTTTGGAATGACAGTAAACAATTTTCATTTGCATTTATACATTATACATATTTTTGTTATTATACATATTTTATTTGTTTTGATAATGTGTCAAAATTGAGATAATACATATTTTAATCAAAGCATTTTCATCTTTCTTTTATATAATTTCTTTTTATAAACAACCTTGGTAATACAGAATATATCGTTTAACTTTAGTATCAAGTTGAAATTTTATATAAAAGTTTTGATTATTTATTATATTTATGTATTATATGTGTGTGTGTGTGTGTGTGTGTGTGTGTGTGTAAAAGATAAAAAATATTTATTTTAATCCCTAATGTACCATAATAATAAATTGTTTTTATTGATGTTTCATGATTAATTTTTTCTTTTATATCATATATCCAATATTGACGTGGATGATAAATATTAAAATGTGATTATTCAATTCATAGATAAACTATACATGGTAATATCAGCTATAGGCTTGGGTGTCACTGCTTTTTGGATACAGTGGTCCGCTGAGTTACAGTTTGCAAGAAAACACGCAATGATGAGAGATTATATAATGCGTCATCCAGAACGTTTTCCTGAACCAGGTACGGTATCATTAATATTTTTATTATAAAATATTTATTTTTAAATTACAGATCACTATTGATGAGAATGTATGTTTAATATTTTAGAAAACAGAAAGTATGCAGATATCTTGAGGCCATGGGTTCCAATCCGTTAAAGGATTGAAATCTGCTTACAAAATAGTTGATTTATATTAAAGAATATAGAATAAAATATATGATGTATCACATGTCATATTTACTTATCTTTTGTTTACTTTTATCTTTAATCGCACAAAATTCATTGCACGAATTGTTACTGCATGAATTTTTTTAAACTATAAAAATGTAGTGAACAAAATCTTTTTTTCTATTTGTAACTTAATTTATGATTTTTACAGAATTTTTGTCTTCTAAATGACAATAAACAAATAAATATCATCATTAAAATGAAATAAATATAATTTTTATTTTAATGAGAATTTACAGCTCTTTTATACTTTATGCAAGTTTGACAAAACAAATTTAATATATTTAATAAAGTATTACTTATAGTTAAACACAGTAAAAAAAAAAAAAAATGAAACAGACTTGTGTTATGTGTAATTTGTATATTAAAAACAAACACATAAATGAAAACAGGAATAAATTACATATTGTATAAAAATTTAATTAAAATTAATAAAATAGCTTTATAATTTGAAAAATTTTAATTTGCAGTTCTGTTATATATTTATTTTATAAATACATTTTATTATTATTAATGTTCTCAAATTTTGTGGAAACTTATATTATTTATTTTGCTCTTAATATATTTTTCATTTTGATGAATATATTATCTTGAACTGCATTCAAGTTAAAAAATTTTATATTTATTATACATGTTATTTATATAAACAACAACAAAAAGAATTAATTGAATTCTTTCTAATTATCATTCTAAGTTTAAACACTTTTATTTCTTTTCAGGATTATAATTATCATTATATAGTCCAGTTCCTTTTGAATCTCCTAACCAGGGATACTTATTAGGACATTCCCTGCATGTTTCTAAATACCTATGAATACATTTATGTTATTATTTTATATTTCAATGTAGCTATATAGATATTTACCTTGTTGTAGTAAAATTCGATTCAGTAGGTTTGAAGTCTAAAGCACATTTATTAGAATTATTACATGGTGGTTCAGGAAGATTTTCTTTCTTTTTACAAGACCACCCTTCAAAATTATTCAAAGATTTTATTGGTTTTGGATCAGTTATCCATGTAAGTGCCTGAGTAGCTGTTACAAAATATACATCAGGTCTGCAAATATAATTATTTCAATAGTTTACAAAAATTTTCTGATACGAAATGTAAAAATATGCTTACAATGTTACTGCCCAATCAAGAAATTTTGACAATCCACGTTCAAGTTCTTTTATTTGGAACCAGTTAGTATGAAAAGGCATCATATATGGTGCTCTGTTTTGCTCATAGTAACGGTTAAAATCTTCTTGCAACCATTCAAAAACTTCTTCAGGATCATGATTATGAAGAACACATTGATCTAAGTAAGGACAATGTCCTCCTTCATAACTTTCAACATAATGTGCATTCAATGGTAATTCCCATACTCCTAGAAACAAACAAAATATCTTTCTTCCTTTCCAGTTTATACCTTATATTTTACATGATAACATAATACATAAAATATTCTATTACCTGGAAATGATTTAGTAGGACATGTGCCTGCTTTACATTCATGTGGAATTTTATAATCAAGAGTATATGGCCAAATTGGTACTTTTAATGGAGAAATTCCAATACTGCTATCATATATATATCCAAAATCTTCCAGTACTTTGTACTGAGTATTTCGACCTGGCTTTAGATATGGAGCTCTCATGCCTACAATTTCACTTATTGAAATATTACTAAAGTATTTAAGTATCTCTCGCATTCCTATCATTTCTCCAACCCATTCCTCATATCCTTTATCTTCTAGTCCTTTCTGTAATCTAAATAACAGATATCATGTACATAAGTATCAATTTGCTTTTTGTAAAAAATTATAAAAAAATTTTTTTAATAATTTTTTAAAAAATAATTTAATAATTTTGAAGAAATATTGTATAAGAATGATCTTTGAAGTGAAAAAATTAGAAATACTTACGATATAGTTTCAGTAGCAATTTCATGTCCATCGTGTGCTAAACTTTGCACCATATTATAATTACAATATTCATGAGAAATAAAGAATGTGCCTTTCAAAGGACAGTTATTTGGATTTAATCGATCAGTGGCAAATATTTTTTGATAATGATCAAAGTTATTGTGATTTATTGCTCCATCAAATGTCATTATTATCATTTGTGGTGTCTGAAATTTAGGAAAACTATGTGAAAGATATTGTTGAAAGTAATTTTTATGAGTGTTTATGTATGTATGTATGACAAAAGAAAAGTATATACTTCTTCTGGATGGAGACCACCAGGAATTATTGTACCATCCCTTGAACAGAAACAATAAGGTAACTGACAGTTTGCAGGGTCACATTTTTCTGCTAAATCAGTTGGTGGTTCAGTAATAGGTGGTGGAGCTATAAAATATAAATATAAAATTAATGAAAAATATAATTTAATTTATAGTTATTAAAAATAAAATACTCACTTGTGGCAATAGGTCCACAACGTGCTTCATTCTTAAAAGTACAAAATTTACTAATATCGTCAAAATGTAGTCCTGATGGACATCGATTTAAATATGGATAGCCGTCGACACACTGTTGAAATTACATATAAAAATGAAAATTGTTTGTATCACATTTTATTATTAATAACATACATGTATTAGATCATTAAATTTCAATGTAAAATACCTGATAAAATCTTCTACATGTAGCTGGATCTGCAAAATTGCCATTACCTTGACCTTCAGGGCATTTGAATTCTTCGTCTTTTCTTTCTTCCTCTTTCTTAGCATTTTTCTGCCCGTGAACTATAAAATGAAAAGATCAAAATAATTAGACATATAAAAATATAGAAAAAAATTAACATTTTTGAAATTGAAAAAATTTAATTTCTCGATTGGTCAAAATACATCAATGCATTTTTACATGTTTTATATATATACTTTTATATGTTAAATGTATGATTATTTTTCTTATTCTCTTCAATTCAATTTTAAAAGTATATACTAATTTAAAAATTGATCCATTTCAAGAGAAAGGATAGATATTTTTTCATCTTTTCAAAATTATTTATGATCACTTATTTTACTGAAAAAAAACAAATGTTTACTACTTCGAAAGATTCAATATATTAATAAATTGAATGATTTATAATTTAAATGTATTTATAATATAATTGTAAGATAAACGAAGATTTAAAAATTTCAGAGACATTTTTCATGAAGATGTTCGTTATCTAATGGTCCACGTGAAATACAGTCAATCTGAAATATTTTTTCAAACAATGAACAATTTAAGAAATATACATGTGGAGTGTAAAGTGTAAAGATCAAAATGTAAAAGAAAAGAGCCGGAAAGTGAAATATATATTTCCAAGAAAATGAAGATATTAAACTAAAGATATTATTGAATTATACATGTTACTTATATTACATTACGTGGGCCAGTGGCAAGATCAAGGTCCAACACTGACTTACATGCATTGGTAATAATATCTCGCAAATCTTAAAATTTTCAAAACGACAATCTTGTATATCATAAAGTATTTATTCTCCAGCAGTGTAACAAAATTTCATATATTTTTTAATGCACTTTTTGCGCCGAACAAAAGGAAATAAATTTCCAACTTCCTCCATTTGAATAGATATCACTTCAAGAATGCAATCAGAATTCTTTCTCCATTCGATAATATGTTAAGTGACTGTTCTAAAATATACAAATACTCTAGCCTTTGGATCGGAATTTTATTAAAATATAATATAAAATATTATAAAATTTTACAACACTTATTTTATTATCTCTAAAAGACGTTTTCGAAAGTAATTATACACTTGTGATTTTTTCGAGATTCTTTTTCATCTGAAATACATCACAAAGTTTACTCTTTACCTTACAATCAAAATTCAAGAAAAATTCTCATTTATATTGAAAACGTGAATTATGCAACTCAGAAAGTCGGATTCAAAGTGAAAGAAGTACACACGCGGCCATGATTGAACCAAGAAACGTGGAAATCACGCATAGCTGGACATTTAATTCGTCGAGAGAAGATTCGGACTTGACACGTTGAAATCTTGTGCAGATGGATTGTCAGGAGAAAGTAGTATTCCAGGAAGATATGTATTTCGTTACAATTTTATAATGCCTGTAACCGTGAAACACGCACTGTTTCGTTTACAATCTTAAAAAATTTTTAAGGACAATTTCATAGCAACAAAGTCTAACCATACAAAATACCATTTAAAACGCGCAAAATAATTTCAGTATTTTATTTTTTTACGAAAATAAAATAGCATTTCATATTTCGTATTAGATTTTTCATTTCACTGCTAATAAACTTTCGTTTGAAATATTTTCGTATAATTCGTATTAATTAAACACACGTACAAGAATTTATTAATCGAATTAGAGTTGTTTGTTATTGCAAGTCTCGCATCATGTGCACATATGCCAAAAAGATCGGTTTAGCAGCGAAGTGAAAAGTGAAGGTACTGCTCTGGCAATGACGTTGTGGTAAATCGTTCAGGTGCAACATTTCCATGGTACACGCATTCAGACGTAAGCGTACGGTACACCATATACGTAAACATCGAAACTTATGTAAACAGCAGTGAAACCACCGACCAGGAACCTAATTTAACGGCGCTTCTCTCGTATCGGCATGTCGGCTGGTTCTTCGCTTCCTCCGGCACCTTGCTTTTTATCCGTGTCAACTTTACTTACGACACGCGCTATAACAATGCAATGGGACTTCCAGCGTTTCATGGAAATCTTGTTTATCGTGGAGATCTTTATTTGCATAGTGGACGCGCGTTTCACGAATTCTTGAAAGAGAAGATTCCTCCTCTAAATTCTCCGGCGGGCAAATTCAATATTTTACCATTTTCAACGTGTATGTTATTGCAGAAGTTTAGTTAATTCTCTAGGAATTTTATGTTATATTTTTCCTCTTGTTGGGGTAATTTTAAAAAAATTCTGAGATACCAGATGTGAATGAGAAATCATCGAAATTTCTATTAGACCATTTTACGTGTAATTTTATTCGATTTATTGATCTCAAGTATTGCATTAGGTGTAATTTATTAATAAGATACTGTTTGAGTCAATGGGTCAAGGCACATTCTTCGATATTCAGATGTGTGGATTAACAGGAGAATTAATCGATCAGTTTGCAGTATTATATTGTAGATAATTATTGAAGAAAGAAAGGGAGAGACAGAGAATTGCAACTTCAATAAGGTTATTTACGGAGCAGATGCAAATTATTAAGAGAATGTCCACAGAAGGTCATTCTTCCTACGTTTCTAATGAATCTAAACTGCTATCTGATTGATTAGATCGCAAGTCTAAGTCTAGAATATTTAATAGAGTTTAAGACGAACAAAATAATAAAAATCTTAAATTATTGCCATATTTTTCATCGCAAAAAAAAAAAAGAGAGAATTAAAAGATGTATATAGATGATTAAGACAGGCAAAGAACTGAGCTAAAAATACATTAAAAAATCAAGATTTTAGTATAATCTCATTGTCAGATAAAAAGAGAATCAAGCCTTTCCCATAAAATCGATCATAACTAAAAAAAGATCCATCTAAAAATCTGCTTGATGAGTAAAAACATGTGCTATTAATGACTACGAATTCCTTAATTGTATTTATATAACTTTCTACGTTGAATAATGGTAAACGACAAATTTCGAAATTTCATCAAATTTCTCTGTAAACTGATGGAAGATAGCGGTGGAGAAGCCAGGAGGAGGAGGAGGAGCCAGGAGTTTTACATCGCCCAACGGGTTTGATCTCTCTTCAGAATGAGCAGCTGTGTCTTCCTACCTGCGACAATGATGAACACGACGACACAGAGCAGCAATCGACTCCTTTCCGACGTCATCCTTCACGAAAAATCGTTTTTTCTAGTTCCCGTTAGAATTTGATTAAATTTACACAGCATTTACACCCGAAGGTAAATGTACAAAGATAATCTTCAATTTGTTGGCTCGTGATGCACGAACATACTCGTAGTCGACGAATCACTGAAAGAAAGAAGTGTCACGGTACTGTTAGCCAAGGTTTAGCCAGCAATGGTGTCTGCCATGGACTACGGGAGTTGGGAACTGAACGGTAGGAACCATTCTTAGCTCATTGGCTGACCACTTTCTACCACCGTCTCGATCGCCCGAGAAATCTTCACTTTTATTCGCATTAGAGCCACAGTGGTTCCGCGTAAATCCTGCTGGAAGCCTAAATTTTTTGACGACATTCAGGAATTTCTCGAGTCGGATTCCTGATTTCGCGATGAAAGCGAAGTTTCTCGTCTCCCTTTTTTTTTTTTTTTTAAATAATTTATTAGTTTTTTTCGGTGTAGACCATTCAGTAATAAAATTGAAGATTTAAAGGATTGCCAAACTGGTTTATATTTTTACAGAATCTTTTTATAACTCGTTCTCTTATTCTCTGAAAAATATTTTAATTTAATCCAAAATGTAACTATCAATCGTTTATGTTAAAAGCTAGAGTAAAGATATAAAGAATATTATTCATTAAGGATAATAATCATTATATTTTCATATTAAAAAATATATATAGAAAGATATTTTGTACTATTTCATCAATTAAAATTATCTAATATTGATACCTGTAAGATATATATATATATATATATAAATACATTTCATTAGTGTACGTACACGTACGAAAAAGCATAAAAATATTCAGAATTCAATCTTGACCATTTGTGGTTTCTTCTTTTGTTTCTCTTTCTTTGCCGATTTCTTTTTTGTTGTCTTTTCATTGTCTCCTGTTTGAGACTCAGTAGGTTGCCAATAAGGATTGAAATATCCCTGTTCGCGTTTTATAATGTTCAATTCCTGAGATGCTAAATGAATTTTAGTAACAGTTTCCGAGTCTAACAGATACTTTGCTCGATAAGTAAAATTGAACGACCAATTTAGCATCGGATTCCATTTTCGTTGCGTCTTAAGTACACGATGAATAATATGAGGAAAATGAAGAAGAATGTCTCCAAAGAATGCCGTGTTTTCTAACGTGGTAGATATTGCTAACAAAATATATGATTTATAAGACATTTTTTTCTTAAGGCAAAAAGAAAAAGGAAAATTATATTAATAACAAAACAATTACCACTTTGTACGGTAACATTCTGTGGCAACGATCTGTTATCTGGATTGTAACCTCCACTTTCGATTAATGATTTACTTGTCTCGATCACATCGATCATTTTTTCACCAAGAACTACAATCATCTTATACAAACGTTCGTAGCTATCTATTTTTTGAAGGCGTTTAATCGCTTCGGTATGTTCCTTGCGTTGATGTTCAAATGATTTTTTGACTAATAACATTTCAGTTAAGATGAGTCATTGAATAATATATAAATAATGATTGCTACAGTATTACCTTCAATATATAATATCAATATCAATATATCAATATATAATATCAATATATAATATATAATATATAGAACAGGCGCTGAAGAAAATAATATTAATATTTATTGATATTAATTGATATTATATATTGATATAATATGATATAATATATATATATAT